AGCTTATTGCCAAACAATAGGTGTCTCAGTTTCTTTCTTCGTTTCACCAGCAGTTTTAATGATAAATATTTTCCAGCAGTTTTAATGATCATTTGAATTAATATCTCTCAATTCGTTTCCTCGTTTCACCAGCAGTTTTAATGATCATTCGAATTAATATCTCTCAATTTGTTTCATCGTTTCACCAGCAGTTTTAATGATAAATATTTTCCAGCAGTTTTAATGATCATTCGAATTAATATGTCTCAATTTGTTTCATCGTTTCATCAGCAGTTTTAATGATCAATATTGTACATTATTTTAGGAATGTTGTATCTTTTATAAATAGGTTCATAAGCAAATTTGACGTAAAAAATTTATAAGCAAAAAATTTATTGTTAAAAATAAAAAAATGTGACGTTGTTTCTCTGAGTATAATCTGAGGTCCATTTTTTTTTAATTTGTAAAATTTGACATTTGAAATATAAATTTGAAATCCAATATTTTTTCACATAATTAATTTTAGCATTTACCATTTCAAAAACCTCCTATATTAAAATGTCCACTGAAATAAGGAAAAGGTAAGTTCTTTTTTAAGGTATCCAACTGGTAAGGTATCTATATTTAAATCTTAGTTGATTAACTTACCTAAACCCTTTAAAATTTTATTCCCGATTTTTAGAAATGAAGCTTAAGTTGTGTTTTCGTATGTTGATAAACAAAACCGAAACCGGAACAAAACTCAAGAAAACGAAACTAAAATGTTTCTTGTTTTGCTTTGAGTGTTGGAACCCTTATTATTTTGAATAAATTATATTCTTAACACAAATAAAGAATTTTAATTTGCGAATTATTTTCTTGCATTTTAATGCATTTTCTGAAGATAGTAGGTTTTGTGAAAATTTCTTTATGCAAACACACAATACAAAAAATTTTTATTATAGAATTCTTTAATATTTTGAAAGTAATTTGTAAAATATTAGAAAATTTTTTTGAGCAAAAAGCTAAGGTCTAGGTTTAAATTTATTATTTTTATCACGCTTTAAGTAATAATATTTATAAATTTTTCTTTAAAATTTAGATGAAAAATTAAAAAAAAAAAAACTTTGAAATAGAACTAAATACATTGCTTAAAAAATTTAACATTGTAGTTAGTTCTATTTCATTGTATTTTTAAACAAAGTTTAATATTTTTAGTTCAAGTCACTGATAATCACATTATTGTTCTAGAAAACAATATATTTTGAAATTTATGTATTACTGTTTGTTGTAGAGCTGTTAGCGTGACAAGAAAAATAGTAGTTTTTCAGTTCAAACTTGCCCTTTTTTGAAAAATATTTTATAAATTTTTTAACTTTACACTAAATT